GAATAAATAAACACTTAACTGATGATTATGGCTACTTTAAACGCTGCTATCTATTTGACGCTGCCTCAGTAGAGGGATAATTACAGCCGTGCGTACGATTCTGTAATCTAAACTCTACAATGTTATATTTTTTTTTATTTTAAGCATGTAACTACCCTTTGTTTAAATCTAAAGAAAATATTACTAGAAAAAAAACCATGCGGTCCAGGCAGCAGACGGGACTCGAACCCGCACCTTTCGCTATCAGGGCGAATGCAGTGACCATTATGCTACCGCGGCCTTGATGGCCGTGTCAAATTCTTTCTAGCCTTTCTGAAGCTGCAATGCAGCGCTATCTCTCCGCATTGTAGGTAACCCACAATCTACTACTCTACAATGTTTTTACTACACGCATAAAACTACGCTTTCGAACTTGTTTTGAACTCAAAATTATTCGGGTTCATATATCATTACCTTGGGGTATTATTAATCCTTGTCATTTGTATAGATATTACTCAATAATATTGAAAAGTTGGATAGTGATTAGTCAAAGTATCATTGACAACCGATATGTTCGTATCTTAGCGGATCTTCGATAACATATCGAGGATTCTTGCTTGGATAATCGTTTGCGCCTGATAAGTTTCGAAAGGCCCCTTGACGATCAGCCGAGTCAGTAATCGGGTTCAGTCAACCTAATTGTTTATATTCATCTGAACAAGCAATAGGATGTCAGTTATTTCCTTCTCAACTAGTTATGAGTTCTCCCTCGCCCGTTCGGATCGCAGCTCTGAGGTCACGGCATTGGATATTGGATACACATGCACTACGAACATATACTAGAAATGTAAATTTCCCTATAAAATTTATTGTATTTAAGTACATATATTGTATATTATGGAATGGAAGGTGACTTCGTGAATCATCTCTGAAGTACTTTTCAAAATTAAAATCAATATATCTTTATTCAAATTGGATGAAAAATTTTTATTTTTTGAATTTTTTTTATTGGAAAAACTATTTTTGGTGAATACAAAAGAGTTGCTTTTGTATTCTCAAAAAATAGTTTTTCCCTACCACTCGTTATTGGACATATTTTTTCAATTTGATAACTCTCTGCACAACTAACTTAAACAATGTTCAAAAAAAATTTTTTTTTCACATTCTCCGTGCTTTTGACGGCTCGTTAAATCTTCGGCTCTGGCTGCATCGGCACAGGCTTCCCTATGGATGAAACAGGGAGACTGGGCTATGAATGACCTACCACGCGCGATCAGTGCTGATTGATGGATGCTAACGACTGAAGATGCAGCTGGGACCAATGCGCTAACCACCTGCGCTATCGAGATCCTCTGCCAATCTCGCAAGGGTCAAATAGCGTAGATGTATGTTGTAATACAATATAATATGTAGTGCAATTTGTTTCACTGATATGCTATCTTGCAGTTAGGTAAAGAAGTTTTTTTAATAATATTATTAAAATCGCTTGACTGCCTTGTTAACAACTGTTAAAATTTGTCTTTTTACCTAGTTATTTATAGAATTTAATAAAATCTTATTATGTATTGAGACTGCTTAATCTAGAACTTTAATACTGCGCGGTGCGGCTTCACCCGCAACAACACAGAACGTGGGACAGCGCTTTAATTCCGTAGCTATAGAAGTGAAATTAAGCAGTAGACTGAACTTTGACTTCACTTATATAACAAACAATTTAATTTATGTATGTAGGTACTTAGGTCATATCACAATTACCGAATATTTTCGGTAATTGTGATATTTAAATAACGACATCATTTTAAAAGGGACAGTACCTTAATGGAGAACTTTCAACTTTGCAGCTAAGCGTTGTAGTTCTTATTATATTTAAAAGGATTTGAGTATTTCACAATAATAGATGTCATAGTGGTTTGGTCTGTTTGTAGATTTTTCAAATCAATTAACTGAAGTTGCACAATTTCTATAACTAGGTCTGTCACTTTTTCGTTGCACACATTGGTCGGAGTCGGGCATTCCAATATAATAGGGATGATGACTATTTTTTTTTCTTCGTTTATCAGGTACACGTTTTTGTCTTTTTCACATAATATAAACATTGCCGAGATATATTGATTTCAAAAGTCGCATGACGTCACGTTTTGGTTCAATTTTCACTTAAAAGTCACGTCACGAGCCCCTACTCCCACACTTTGACGCGCTATAACTTTGTCATTTTTTGGTTGATTTCCCAAGGAAAAAATACGTGTCCATTATTTTTTGATCATCTAAATGACGGACTAAATAGAATTTCGTTTACTGTACCCCGTCATCACCCCTATTGTTTATTTTTCAATGCTCAGAGGCAGATTGATGAGCACATTAAATCTGCTTCAGAGTTAGTGCTAGAAAATGAATATGTTTTGATATGTTTTGATAGATATATTTGATAAAAATAAGGCCTTTTAAAAAAAATAGGCTTTATTTAATGTAAGTAGTATTTAATTTGCATATTCTAAAAAGTTAAATTTTAAGTCACAGTCAAGTTTTTGATTAATTATATTGTCATCCCTATATATTACATGAAACAAAACTTCAAAGAATAAAGTATTAAAATTCGTAAAAGGTTACAACAAATTAATAACGCGCTATGAAAAGCTCGTCCTTCACAAAGAACCGCCACTACTGACGCTATGAGCTCGAGCGAACCGCTCGTGCAGTTTGCTGAGTTGTAGAACTGTCATCTATGCGTGTGTAAGTATTGTCGATGTAAACATATTTTAATAGACTTTTCTGCACTACAGGCCTTATTTCAGCATAGGCCTTATTTGTATCAGGTGCCTTAATATTTGAAAAATTAACCTTAACAATATACATCGCAACCTAACAAGGAAATATTTCGACAATACGTTTATTGTTTCAATCCTATGCATAAACCGGTGTGTTGACCTTAATAAAAAACTATTAGGAGATATCTACGAAGGTTTTTTTATGTAACCACTGTTTTGTTGTAAAAAAATGTTCTACGAAAATACTAGTAATTTAACTTAAAAATATACGCAGGTGAATTTTACTAGGTATCATCATCATCAGACTATTAATGTTCCCTCCCTATGGATGGAATGTATAGGATAACTATAAAATTTTTTCCCCCAACAATTCTATGGGAATGAGACTACGGGTGTCAAATCCTGTTTCCTTAACCACTATTCTGATTTTCAAAAAGAAATCTTCAATGTTTGTAATTGTAGAAGAATAAGTACAACTTTTGTTCTTTTAATTCTCCAGGGGGACATTTCTTTTTTCAATTACTTGACCGATTTCGAAACCATTTTTACCAGATCGTACCTACGTAATATGACGTAAATAAAATACACCCGTGTGAAGCCGGGACGGGTCGCTAGTTGTATACACCACAGAACACAAAAAGAGGAGGAAGGGCTTTGTGGGCGGGTCAGGCGCGCAACTTGACCAAAACTTGGTTCTGATTGCGTCGTTGCTCTCTGGTGTGAGCGATGATATAATCTATTAAGTGGAAGTGTAGTGGGGCTAAGCCGGCGATATAGGTTCCCACAGAAACGGTCTTTGATCACCATTCTAACCTCTGCCTGTGTTCTGTGTTATATATTTTATATTCAGTCTACCTATTCGGAGATATACGCTTAGACAATAACTTAAACTTGTAAATAGGTGCTGAGTATTATGAGTATATGAAAATGCTAACTGAACATACGATCAAAAATATCGTTATCAATGCGAACAAAAGTAACACTGTAGGCATTTATTATAATAAAATTACTAATAAATAAGGGACGCATTTTTTATATTTTTATTTCCGTTACAATATTATTCTTGACATTGATAGCTTGGTCATGATTGTGAAAAACAGATGATGCCTAAAGTTTTAGGTATAACATACACGATTATTGTACCAACACATTTTGGTATAGATATCAACATAATATTAAAAAAAAAATGATAAAACTGTATACCTCGATAACAAGTTATATTATAAGAACGTATATTTATTTTTCAGATCATCACGAATCAAGATATCGATCGTCACCAGTAATCAATACTTATTTATATTCCATCCAAGAATAAATTATTTAAATCAGGTGTGAATTAAAAAAGTTAATATTTACCACGGAATCTTACCATTAACTTCTACGAATTTAATACAGATACTTATGTCAGTAAATAATTTTCGTGTACAGAAAATTCGAACCAGTAAGTGTTTTCGCGGGTTTGGAAACAGCCGTCACTAAGCACTGTACCAAAAGGGCCACGACAGTGACTTTGTATTTGATGCAATATATTTATTTATAATGAACTGATACAAAATATTATGTGTAACTCGAGAAATCGACATATCCTCTGTCAGATAAGAATATGAATAATGGTTACGTTTGACTTCTTACACATGTTTCAAACTAGTTGCAAACTGTTAATATATTTGAATAGAATAAATTTAACATAAATACATATATATTATTATATAAACACAAACAATATTTATCTAACACATAAAGGTCAAAATTACAAAGATCGCTTCACTTAGATCATGATTTTAATTAAGTTAGTTTCTGTTTTTATACTTGACAATTGGCTTTTGTACCAAGTCAATAATCAACAAGTGAGTTTCAAATTATTATCCATTTTAAATAATCTTTATATTTTTAATATGTTTTGAGTGTAACATGCAGTATTTTATGACTAAGCTAGCGTAAGCTAGATTATAGATTGATATAATTCCTTCGATCGATTATCATCATTAGCTATTGTTTTTCCTGAAATTTTCCTGCACAACAAAATTTATTAAATCAATCAAATACTCTTTATTATGTGCTTTAATCATAATACTCATGGTTTTAACATTTAACTTCTGAAATATTTCCTTAGTAGTAACACCGATTAAACTGTCAGGGTTGCACTACAAAAAAGTTGACACTGTTTTAAACAAATTTTGTATGACATTGTCTTGTCAATCGCGTGTTGAACGTCTAACTTTTTTGTGGTACTTCTCCAAGTTATTTTCAGCATACCTTTATTGAATCCTAAGCTGACGGTGCACGTGATGTTTGAGAAGTGTATGTCAACAGGCTCCCTTCGGGGTTTGATGTGTTGGTCCGGGGAGCTCTTCTCCTGCGCTTTCGCACGGGGCAACGACATCGCAACATTCCCAGAATCCTCCTTGTAAGATACACTGCCGCCGTCCTCTATCTCTGCGCCGGCGAGCATCATCGTCACCGAACTACCGTGCGCGTTCAGGCACACACAGCGCGCGAATGAGTGCGCGCGCGCCTGTACACTTCGAGCGCGCGAACTGCGCTATCAAAGTCTTTGTCCTGAGTAATTGCACGATGTGCGATGCCGGAGACAATTCGTTAATGACTGTTATGTGTTAGTTGGAACACATTTCCATTTCTGAACAATGCGCTTTATTTAATGTTCCGGATAAAGGCTTGTATTGTGTGTCGTGTGCTAAGCGATAATGACTTTTGCTCCTATTGATGATTGGGGTAGGAATGTAATTGACTTTGTAAAATATTTTATCCTTTTGTTTAACTTTTATGTGATTAAAAAGACTTATATGTGAAAAAATATCCAGGGTTTACTGGGAATCGAATCCTAGGCTGAAGATGATATGAGTAACTTTTACACTCCATAATAAAAAAAATCCATTTAAAAGTTTTAAGGGAGCCCAAGTGGTGATTTTTGGATATACTCGAGCGCGGCAGATTAACATATGGGGGTAACCATGCCTCTTGTAAAATACTCACACCATACCCGAGCCCTCTATGTAGTGAAAAACGTCTAGGGCAGCAAAAATAAAATGTCAACTAACGGCCACGACTTTTAGTCGCGTCCAAATCGTTTCTGAGGACGGAAAAGTATTGATCTGCTGGATTGCATGGTGTGGGGATGGCGGTAAGAAGGAGTAAAATTTAGGAAAAAAAATTTGAACGCGTCAGAAATTGAGAACCGATAAGGTAACGTGAACCCTCCAGTGCCTCATATTCAAAAGACTGGCGATTTCGACGTGACCAAAAGTCGTGGCAGTTTGATGATTTTTTTTTGTTGCCCTAGACGTTCGCCACTGGTGTGGTGGGAGTACTTCCCAGGGTGAAGGTTGCCCTCCATATGTTAATCTGCCGCGCTCGAGTAAATCCAAAAACTCCCGCTTGGGCTCCTATGCTATATAGGTTATTTCATTGTGAATTTCTTTGATACTTTATTTTTACGATGTTCATGTTTACCATAAATAATTGCTATCTTATCAATTAAAATAACCGTTATTTGACATATATTATGACGATTGACAGTTTTCTTTTCATGCATACACAAAAATTGTATACTATTAATTGGCAGTTTACTGACCTCAATTCATTTTGGAGAATGTAACTTGAATGTTAACATTTAAAATCCATTTACGAAGTACATATAGGATTACAGTAGGCTTATCATGGTTAAGTTCATAGCAATGTTTATATGAAAAAGCAACATGTAGTTCGGCAAGGTGAGGATGGTTGGTGTGGCAGGTAGAACTGCTGTACCAGCTATCTTCACGTTTGGACTTCACCGTCACTTAACATCAGGCGGGGTGGAGGCACGGTAATCTATACTTATAATAAATCTGTAGAGAGGTCAATTCTGTACATGAAATATATTTTCAAAATAACTATCAGGGGGTGATTAGTGATCGATACTGATGCCAAAAATGCAATCAGTAAAATTTTTGTCTGTCTGTCTGTCTGTCTGTCTGTCTGTGTGTATGTTCCTTATAGAAACAAAAACTACTCGACGGATTTTAACGAAACTTGGTACAATTATTCTTCATACTCCTGGGCAGGTTATAGTATACTTTTTATCACGCTACAATCAATAGCAGCAGAGTAGTGAAGGGAAATGTTGGGAAAACGGGAGAAGTTACTCCATTTTTTAAGCTTCCGTCGCGTGTGCAGCCTTAATGGTTAAAGTTACGTAGAAATCATGTATGACGGAAATATTCTACATAAAATTGTCTAAAAAATATCCCGCAACAGCATATGTCTATCTTTTATGGTTGACTCACAATAACACGTGTAATTATATAAATAAAGTCATTGTTTATAGCACAAGCCTGAGAACAAAAACTATAGTTTATACTACAGATCTACACCGAAGCGAAGCGAGGGCGGGCGACTAGTAGATAATATTACCGTGGCGGAGGCATTAGTCGGACCTATCTATATATATTTATATATTTCCATAATCATTAAATATTTGAGGAGCTCGATGGCGCAGGTGGTTAAAGCATTCGGCATGCGATCGTGAGGGTTAAGCAACATTCGCAATGGTCGGTCACTGGATGGGTGACCAAAAACTAACTATCTCGATCTCTTCCGTGCTTCAGAAGGCACGTTAAGCCATTGTTCTTAGCACTGGGCTCTCGTGGTGGATCATCACCAGTCTTACATTTCCATCCATGAGGAAGGCCTGTGCCCCAGCAGTGGGGACATTAATAGACGCCCGCCTCTGTCTGTCAGTCTGCGTTTCGCAATAGCTAGACATCAGATAGGTCATGAAAATTTTATTATCTCCAGCTGCTCAGAGATTCGGAAGGGACGTGCTTACGTTATTCTCTGCTGTATTTGCAGTGGTCAGCGCCCACCAATAGAATTGCACCATCTTTGTTAGTTAGAACAAGGAAGGCCTGGTGACATTTAAAAACCAACATTAATTCGATCTCGATGTGTCAAATGCCAAAAAGTTTTGTATGGAAGAGTTCAAAATCCGTTGTGGTGATGTTCAAATTTCAAAATTTCTTGACATTCGACGCGAGGTCGATTTCAACTACATAATTATAAGAATTTGATATTAGTACAGTCAATCTGTAGGTTGAGTGGTGAAAAAAAAACCTAAAGGGTAAGACTTGTTTTTTCTGTTGCAAAATGACGTCAGTAAGCCACCTTGGCGATGGGCATGTTCAACTCGTAGGCGTTTTTTGAAAAACTCAAAAAAACCGTCAAAAATTTTTTGAAACGCATTTTTCTTGTTTTGTATGCATTTTATAAACTTTTTTTTCAACCATAATTGTAGAGGGCGTTGAGTACTACAATTTATGTCATTGCAATCTCGTACAACAAAAAATGCGCATTGTAGGTGGCGCTAAAGTCTCAAAAAAAGTGTTTTTTCACTTTTTCACCCAGAAAATATCATTTTAATGGAAAACTTTAAATGGCAAAGTTGTTTCGTAAATAATTACCAACAACTTTTGTATAAACAATTTTTTTGTATTACTTACCGTTTTCAAGTTATAAATTGCGCAGATATGAAAAATCCAATAGAGCTGTTTTGGGCAGTTCAAGTACACATTTGCAGTGCACATTTCAAACGTCACGTTTTGGTACAATTTTCACTAAAAAGTGACATCACGAGTCCCTCCCTACTCCCAAACTTTGACGCGCTATAACATTGTAAGTTTTTGGTTGATTGCCCAAAGAAAAAGTACGTGTCCATTATTTTTTGATCATCTAACTGACGGACTAAATAGAAATTCGTTTACTGTACCACATAATCACCCCTATTCTATCGCCATCGTCAAATTTTCTATGGAAGCAGCTTCTCTGTTCTTACGTCCGGTGCTGGTTAGTTTTCAAAGAAATTTTGACGATGCGATACACCCGTATCGCTCCGTAATCAGGGAGCTGTCAAAATTCATGCTTGGGCATCCTTTTAACTCCATCTATCCTACCGCTGACACGTGAAGAGCTTTTAGCTTGGAGGTGGGGACCTCCATAATCACTTATATTGTTTGGTACAAAATGCCTTGAAGCTACTTTTGATTTAGAAATCACACGTTCAACGATTACACAAACACATTATATCTTGTTTTTATTTATTTTTTAAGCATTTAACTACTAGATAAATATCTAAATTAAATCTAAAGAAAATTTTTACTAAAAAAACTTAACTGTAATTGCTATTTCTTCTTTCAAGTGTTTAATACTTGAAAAAGTATTCATTTGACATTGTGGGTTGCCTACAATGCGAAGGGATGGCGCTGCCTTGCAGCTTAAGGCTAGGAAAATTTCGACGCGGCCATCAGGGCCGCGGTAGCATAATTGGTCAGTGCATTCGCCCGGATTCGAGTCCCGTCTGCTGCCTGGTCCGCGTGGATTTTTTTCTAGTAAAACTTTTCTTTACATTATATCTTACTAGACGTTTTTGTGGTTTTTCGAGCCTTTACGTATATTGTTGACTATTAGAACCTTACCACCAGGAGAATGGTGAATCCGCACCGGTCGCGGTAATAGTAAGTCAGCTACTTATTTATATGCAATGGAAAGATATAGGTATTATGATCTCTATCTCAAGCTAGACTCCATCGCGAAGTATATGAAGGACGCCTCAGACGTTACTTCGATAAAGCCGCACATAATCCGAACCCCTTAGTAGTCAAAGCCTCTAGTTATCACACGTTTGTCCTCCCATCCTCCAATCGTAGGTACCTCAAACACCAACACTTCACAGCTAGCATACTTGCACACTAGCTTAGCTTTTGGTAGACACCGCACCCGTAGGACAAGAGTGCGAAGACCCATTCTACACACGACACGCTATACCAGGTACAGGTACGTACCTTGGCGTTTTTCCCCGCCCTCCACGATAACGGCTAACTAGAGCTGCCCCTCTAGCATGACCACCGAAACGGGATATGATAAAGCGATATATAGGCATTAACTGTCAGACTACTATGGAGTTTGACAGTAGTCTGACAGTTAATGTCGATATATCTCTTTATCATATCCCGTTTCGGTGGTCATGCTAGAGGGGCAGAGGTCCGAGTCTCAGAGACGCCCTCTAGTTGAGCCGACCCCCTCAGGTTCGAATGGTCTAGAGGCTCCAGACGGAGTTGAGACTTCCCCCGTGGAGAGATGCTATCCGCGTGGGATACCTTTAGAGGAACTCGCCAATTCTCGGCCTAAGGTCCCCTTAGGATCTCGCCGTCCCTAAACCCGGTGGTGCTGTAAAGGTCATCTGCGACCAACAGCATACGCACTCAAAAAACAAAAAAGGTTTTATGATAATGGTAATTCCATATAACACATTTTTTAAAGATAAAAGCTGTCACACCTTCTCTATATATATATGCCGTTCGAAAACAGGAGATTAGACTAAGGATTAGTCAAACATTAGGAAAAGAAAGATAGCAATTTAATTATGTGGACTGGATATTATTTATAACATATTAGTGTCTATGTAAGTAAAGTACGTATTTGCAAGTTGCTAATTAACACTAATTTGTTTGCTGTAATTTAGGTTTATCAAAAAAAAACTGCTAGGACTGCATAGCTTAGAGTGCGAATACAAAATAGTTCTTTTTGTAATAAATTTAGAACTATAATTCTAT